TGGTGAGTCACCGTTTGTCACTAATTCCCGTCTTGTCTCTTCTTCACAATTCAAGTTTCTAGAATCAACCCACCCGCGCCTGCAACATGGCTTCATCCCAGAGGTCGCAACCGGGTACCCGATACCCGTACCCTACCCGACACCCGGCTACCCGGCCGTTTTCAACCCTGGTGCGGCCGGGTACTGGGTAAGGAATCAAACCCGTGTGTGACGTCTGCTCCACGCGCCGCCTGCATGGGACAACGGAGGGCGCAGGGACAGACACTCGACCGTGAAATCGATCCGCAATCTTGTCGCACGGCCAGCAGCTCCGTGTCGCCTTCTCTCGATCCCGCGATCCCAAGCAGGGGACAGTCCGCGGCGAAATGACGAGAGGAATTCACACGGAATGTCCTTTTCAACGAAGTCTTCCAGATGTAAAACGATGTAGCTTTTAATTAAGAAATACAATTCAAAACACACACAATTCGAAGACGTTTCATTTTAAAACTTCAAAACGGAGCATCGGGTGCTTGCGTGAATGCAAAATTATAATTCGTGTTGTCCAAGAATGTATCTCCTCTACGTGTAACTTTTAAGGGGTATGCCTTGTAACTGATGAATGATCTCGCCGAGTGATCTGTACAGGTTACTTCTAAACACACACACTTAATCACTCTAGATTTGAACACTTCATGTTTGACCCTCACAGACAAAATGTTACATGTACATGCACAATCAGACAAGTATTCATTCTAAATTATTGACAGGCATATTAACAAAATTGAATTACTGCAGCGAAACATACTGCATCAGGCAACATCGTATTAACAAGAAGCTATTTTAACACATACTATTGTGTCATTCAAAACGAGTAGTCCATTGCATGCTGGCGTCTGGGTCAAAACGTAGCAAATTCTAAACATTACCTACAAATAATAGATCACGACGTTTCGATCGCAACGCAAGCAGTCGCCATCAGCTGGGACCACGTCAATAACTGCTGAAGTTGGCGTCTACCTCAGTTGGTGATGATGGTGGTGATGGTGGTGATGGTGGTGATTGTGGTTGTCACACCTGATGACGATCGCTTGTGTTGCCATCGAAACGCCGTGATCTAGAATTTTTCGACCCACGTGACGTCACCGAAAGAACTAAAGAGTGTGGATTCCTGCAGTCACAAAAGCTTCAAGTCAAGATCACCTACAAACGACACAGCTGAGATTACACATCAATCATCGCCACTACTGACAGGCTCGTGTTCACATGCAGGCTGGTCAAGGGCCACCACCTTGTGCCACACAGGGGCAGCTGCTACTTGGGGATGCTCTTCGAGTGTTTCAGACAAGCGCCATGCAACAGCAATTATGATGAGAACATCGTGAATGCTTGGGGGCTTATTGGCTCTCGCTCCTGGTGAGAGACCGACCCAACCCACAGGTCCACTAAGACTGGCCACTCGTCTTCTTGCTTCTTTCGGTAAAGTCGTCACGTAGAAGGGAAGTAATAAAATAATAAAAATAAAACACAATAAAACAATTCTCACGACGTTTCGGCCACAACGCAAGCAGCCGTCCTCAGGTGAAAACCAGGTCTGTCGAGGCGACAGCGTCTGAATGAAACAGCACACGCGCTTGGAGCATATAAGCTGGGCGCCTTGACAAAGGAATTTGCATATCAAGAGGCATTTAGCATATTTATGAGAAATGCAGGTATGTGATTAGTACCACTTATGCCCGTGCATTATGCAGAATTAGCAGCATCAAAGGAAGGGGATAGGGGTAGCATTAACAAAGGGAAGGAGTGTTAATAGTATGTAGCTGCAGTAACTGGCCACTCACTCTTACCCTGCAGGTTGAACCCAGGAACTGAGTGTTCAACTTCACGTTATTGTCATTAAAGGCCTGTGACAAAGGAGCATCTATTGCAGCGACATCGTCTCTGGCTTACTCATCTACCGGGTCTCCATTTGACTTTGTGTTGTCTAGGAAGTCCAGCCACACCTCCACAAACTGCTGGGAGTTTCAATTTAAAGCTTTCCTGACTGCAGGGATTCATCTTCTTGGTTCTTTCACCTGAGGACAGCTGCTTGCGTTGTGGCCGAAACGTCGTGAGAATTATGTGATCATGTTTTATTTGTATTATTGTATTACTTCCCTTCTACGTGACTTTACCGAAAGAACCAAGAAGATGCTTGGAGTTGCCTTACTCTGCCTCACAGTCAGAATTCTCCTCCTGCTTCACGTTGCCTCCATCGATGTGAAGGTCCCATTTTGGAGTTGATTCTTCATCTTCACATTTTACCTTCACTTCTTCGCTCTTCACCATCACCTCTTCACATTTCACCTTCACCTCTTCATATTTCACCTCGTTACCTTTAAAAGTGTCCAAGCTGGGATTTTCTTCCGGTTCATGTTTGATGAGGGATGGGCTCATTGCAGCACTTTGACTTTCACAAGCTGATTTCAGACTCCACTCCTGGTGGATATTCTGATGCTTGTGCATTCTCTGGTGTACATGAAGATGTTCTGACTGTGCAAACGCCTTCCCGCACGGAGTGCACCTGAAGGGTTTCTCTCCCGTGTGTGTTCTCTGGTGTTTTATAAGAGAAGATGACCGTGAAAATGCCTTCCCACACACAGTGCACTTGAAGGGTTTCTCTCCCGTGTGGGTTCTCTGGTGTGCTTGAAGATGTGGTGATTGTGCAAACGCCTTCCCACACACTGCACTTGAAGGGTTTCTCTCCCGTGTGTGTTCTCTGGTGTTTTATAAGAGAAGATGACCGTGAAAATGCCTTCCCACACACACTGCACTTGAAGGGTTTCTCTCCCGTGTGTGTTCTCTGGTGTGTTTTAAGATTTGATGACTGTGTAAATGCCTTCCCACACACAGTGCACTTGAAGGGTTTCTCTCCTGTGTGTGATCTCTGGTGTTTTTTAAGAGAAAATGACCGTGAAAATGCCTTCCCACACACACTGCACTTGAAGGGTTTCTCTCCCGTGTGGGTTCTCTGGTGTTTTATAAGAGAAGATGACATTGAAAATGCCTTCCCACACACACTGCACTTGAAGGGTTTCTCTCCCGTGTGGGTTCTCTGGTGTGCTTGAAGATGTGGTGATTGTGCAAACGCCTTCCCACACACACTGCACTTGAAGGGTTTCTCTCCCGTGTGTGTTCTCTGGTGTTTTATAAGAGTAGATGACCGTGAAAACGCCTTCCCACACACACTGCACTTGAAGGGTTTCTCTCCTGTGTGTGTTCTCTGGTGGATCTGAAGAAATGATGGCCATGCAAACGCCATCCCACACACAGTGCACTTGAAGGGTTTCTCTCCTGTGTGTGTTCTCTGGTGGATCTGAAGAAATGATGGCCATGCAAACGCCATCCCACACACAGTGCACTTGAAGGGTTTCTCTCCTGTGTGTGCTCTCTGGTGGTGTGTAAAATTTCCAGTCCGCTCCGTGCTGTATCCACGCTGGTCGCATTGTTGCCTTGCCGTACCGAGCTGTGCTGAGCGCCTTTGCTCCATCAGACCAAGCGACAGCTGCAGACAGAAAAAAATTATATCCACACCACCTACACGTCAGACACAGAGTAATGCATATACACAGTCACACGTGACTTACACGTCTATACTTATTCATATATTCATGATGTAGTGAAAAAGTTTCCCAAATTCATCACACAGGCTGTTATTGCACACAATGAGAGGGCAAAGTCATAAATATGCCTGGAAGCCCTCGTATCTCCGTGGTGAGATGTTAACTACCTCACCTGGTATACAAGAAGTCGTGGGTTCGATCCCGACCCTGACGCCTGCTGCTGTATATTTGGAGTTTGCGTGTCTCTCTCTCTCCGTGGTGAGATGTTAACTACCTCGCCTGGTATACAGGAAGTTGTGGGTTCGATCCCGACCCTGACGCCTGCTGCTGCTGTATATTTGGAGTTTGCGTGTCTCTCTCTCCGTGGTCGCGTGGATTTTCCTCCGAATCTCCCGGGTTTGCCCTCCACATTTAGAGTCAACATCAGCACGTGATTAGCGTCTTTGACCGATACACATTTCCACACGTATTCTTGGTTCTTTCGGTAAAGTTACGTAGATAGACAATAACAACAGATAACATCAAATAAATGCCACTTGTGTTGTGATAGAAACGTCGTGGTTTTATTTACAATTTTGTTTACTTTTATTCATTTTATTATCTGTTATTTTTATAATTTTCTATCTCCGTGACTTCACCGAAAGAACCAAGAATATGAATTGCTGCAGTTACGAAAGTTTTAAGTCAAAACATTGACACACGCGTTGACAAAACCCCCCATACCTTGTTGTTGTTGTGGGCAGGTAGCTTCTGTAAACAAGAGCGGTACAGCAGCTCAAGCGGGCTTGGGCTGGTAAAAAACTAAAAAAAAAACTGCGTTAATATCTACAATAAACCAAAGTGACAAAGTAGCGAGCCGCGTGAAGACAAATTAAACTTAAGGGAGGGAATTAAAGCAAACGCGACCAGGCGAGGGCAGGAGGCAAGGCCCCGCGTGTCTAGGCCCCGCGTTGTAAAGTTCCAACTTGGACATCGATTCACAAGCTGCTGCTGCTCTATTGACATCCCTACGAGAGAGAGAGCGAGGCTCTAGCTTGGTAAACAACAACAACCACAACAACCACAACAACCGCAATGAAAATTTCTCACCTCGGATTTCAGTTCACGCGCGGACCTCCAGCTGCCTGTTAGCTCGTGACGTCACCCGGCAGCAGATGACATGACGTCACTTTCTGGGGTACAAGACCCTCCCCTCCCACAATGAGAGGCTACCCTAACTGAATAAATTAATAAATTATGTTAATGTTTGCGATCATCAACATTATCAATAAACATCATTTACACCATCATATACAACAATATCATCAGCATCATCATCAGCATCAACAACAACATCATCAGCAACATCATCACCACCCCTAGCATCAGCAGAAATATCAACATCATCACAGCAACAGCAACAACAACAACATCAGCAGCATCAACAACAACATCATCAGCATCAACAACAACAACATCAGCAACACCGTCACCATCTAGAACAGAGGGGAGGGAAGACTGCGGCCTAGTCGGCCTCGGGCCATCCCGAGTTTTCCTAGCGGACCCGCCGCGCCCGGAGCGCCTCCCCCGGCAGGAGTCGGGATCGAATAACGGGTCCGCCGGGCGTGGTGAACACACATACACACAGTGTACACACACACACAGTGCACACACACAGTGCACACAATGTACACACACACATAGTGCACACACACACACACAGTGCACACACACAGTGTACACACACACACACAGTGCACACACACACAAAGTGTACACACACACATTGTACACACACACAGTGTACACACACAGACAAACACACACAGACACACAGTGTGTACACACACAGTTTACACACAAACACACAGTGTACACACACACAGACACACACACAGAGTGTACACACACACAGTGCACACACAGACACACATACACAGTGTACTCACACACACACAGTGTACACACACACAGTGTACTCACAGACACACAGTGTACACACACAGTGTACACACACACAGTGGACACACACACAGACACACACAGTGTGTGTACACACACAGTGTGTACACACACAGTGTACACACACAGTGCACACACACACACAGTGTACACACACACAGTGTACACACACAGAGTGTACACACACAGTGCACACACAGACACATACACAGTGTACACACAGACACACAGTGTACAGACACACATACACAGTGTACACACAAATACACAGTGTACACACAGACACACAGTGGACACACACACACACACAGTGTACACACACAGTGTACACACACACACAGTGTACACACAGTGTACACACACAGTACACACACACACTGTATACACACACACACAGACACACACACAGACACACACAGTGTGTACACACACAGACACACAGTGTACACACACACAGACACACACAGAGTGTACACACACAAACACAGTGCACACACAGACACACATACACAGTGTACACACAGACACACAGTGTACACACACACAGACACACACACACAGACACACACAGTGTACAAACAGACACACACAGTGTACACACACACAGTGTACACACAGACACACACAGTGTACACACAGACACTCCCAACACACAACCGGTTAGTGCTGCTCCAGTGACAGATTGGCACGGTATGTCACGTGATAAACCTTGCGAATCGGCTGTCGGCTGATGGCCGGTTTAACGACACGCATACATTCAAACTTTATTTGGAGTTGGAGTTTGTGTCTCTCTCTCATCATCACGGTGGCTAGGAGATGTTAACTACCTCGCCTGGTATGCAGGAGGTCGTGGGTTTGATCCCGATACTGAAGATTCTTGCTGTATATTTGGAGTTTGTGTGTCTCTCTCTCATCATCACGGTGGCTAGGAGATGTTAACTCCCTCGCCTGGTATACAGGAGGTCATGGGTTTGATCTCGATCCTGAAGATTCTTGCTGTATATTTGGAGTTTGTGTGTCTCTCTCATCATCATCACGGTGGCTAGGAGATGTTAACTACCTCGCCTGGTATGCAGGAGGTCGTGGGTTCGATCCCGGCCCTGGCGACGCCAACTGCTGTATATTTGGAGTCTGCGTGTCTCTCTCTCTCTCATCATCAGTGAGTGGGTGAGGTGAGTGGGTGGGTGATTGTGTGAGCGGGTGGGGTGAGTGGGTGGGTGAGTGTGTGAGCGAGTGGGTGTGCGGGTGAGTGGGTGGGTGAGTGTGTGAGGTGAGTGTGTGAGCGAGTGGGTGTGCGGGTGAGTGGGTGGGTGAGTGTGTGAGGTTAGTGTGTGAGAGGGTGAGTGTGTGAGCGAGTGGGTGTGCGGGTGGGTGTGCGGGTGAGTGGGTGGGTGAGTGTGTGAGCGAGTGGGTGTGCGGGTGAGTGGGTGGGTGAGTGTGTGAGCGAGTGGGTGTGCGGGTGAGTGGGTGGGTGTGCGGGTGATGTGAGGGTGGGTGAGTGTGTGAGCGAGTGGGTGTGCGGGTGAGTGGGTGGGTGTGTGAGCGAGTGGGTGTGCGGGCGAGTGGGTGGGTGAGTGTGTGAGGTGAGTGTGTGAGCGAGTGGGTGTGCGGGTGAGTGGGTGGGTGAGTGTGTGAGCGAGTGGGTGTGTGAGGTGCGTGGATGGGTCAGTGAGTGGATGAGTGAGGAGGGGTACCAGGTCGTCTACTGGGGGTGAGGGGTCATTATACAGGGCGGTTCAAAGGTCAAGACACAGTTTCTTGGGTTTTTATTTTATTGTGATTTTCCGAGTTTACAAAGGTAGCTCTCTCTCCATCCGTCTCTCCACTCTCTCTTCCTCTCTCCATGCTGGGCCTGTAGGCTTGGCCCGAGCGAGTTCCCGCCTTTTCACGAGTTGATTCCGCCCCCCGCCGTGGCTTTGTCGGCACGAGGCTTCTGCGCCGGTGAGTGTCAAGGGCTCCAACGGGCCCCAAACCGCTGCCCCGTCGTCACCGCCGCCGTGGACAAAGCGCCGATGCTCGACATCATGAGCTGCGTGGAGAGGGACCTTCTGGACCTCATGTTGCGCACGGGCTACAACGTCGTCCAGGAGAACGGACAGAGGAAGCTGGGACCGCCGCCCGACTGGCAGGGCCCCCCTCCCGCCCGCGGCTGCGAGGTGTTCGTGGCGAGGATCCCGCGCGACCTGTACGAGGACGAGCTGCTTCCCGTGCTGGAGGCGGTGGGGCAGCTGTACCAGCTGCGCCTCATGATGACGTACGACGGAGAGAACCGCGGCTACGCGTTCGCCACCTTCGCGACGCGCTCGCAAGCCGCGGACGCCGTCAAGAGACCCCACGACTTGGAGATCCGCCCGGGGCGACGGATCGCGGTTTGCGTGAGCGTCGACAATCGCCGCCTCTTCTTGGCGAGGCTGCCGAAGGACAAGACGGGGCCGAGGTGATGGCGGCGATGAGCGACGCCACGGAGGGCGTCGTGGGCGTCGAGATGCGCTTCTGTCGCTACGACAGGAGCCTCAGCCGAGGCTACGCGTTCGTCGAATACGAGAGCCACCGCGCGGCCTGCATGGCCCGCAGGGTGCTGCTGCCGTACTCCTTCCGGCTGTGGGGCCGGGACATCAACGTGGACTGGGCCATCCCGCAGCGAGAGCCGGGGGCGGCGGCTGCTGCTGCTGCCGCGGCGGTGGCAACGGAAGACGACGAGGAGGGGGGGGGGGAGGAGGAGGCGGCAACTGAAGACGAGGAGGAGGTGGAGGAGGAGGAGGTGGGGGAGGAGGAGGCAACGGAAGACGAGGAGGAGGGGGGGA